CGCAGATCCTCTTTGATCTTTTCGAGAATTGCCGAACGTCGGGCGTCGCCGTCGCTGCGTTCCTATGAAGCCGTTGCCACCTTTTCCTTTTCGGCACGAAGTTCGTCTCTGAGGGAGGCGATCTCCTTGTTCGCGTCGGCCGTCGAGTAATCTTTGTCAGCCAACCGTTCCTTCAGACTCTTCACCTGCTTCTCGGTCTCTTCCAGCTTCGTCGCCGACCGTCGTTTGAGGTCTTTTGCAGCCGCCGCTTCCCGGTTCGCCAGTCGCAATTCGTCTTTTATTTTCTCGAGCGTCACTGAACTTTGGGCGTCGTCGTTGCTGCGTTCCTTCACGGCTGTTGCCACCTTGTCCTTTTCGGCACGAAGTTCGTCTCTGAGAGTGGCGATTTCCTTCTTCAGGTTAGACGTCGCTCGATCTTTGTCCGAAATCAGTCTGTCTCTGTCGCCGAGCGTCCGTTTTGACGCGCGAAGTTCGTCGTCGATAATTTCGATCTTCCTGGCGTTCGCTTCCACCTCCTCCTCCAGGTTCCTGTTCTCTCGAAAAACCTCCGAATGACGCGTTTGGTCCTTTTTCAGGTCCTCGATCGCACTCTTCAATCGCATAACCGTCTTCCGTTCCTCCTCCAGATCGGATTGCGCTCGCCGCAACTCCTCCTTCTCTCCGAGGTTCACTTCCATTTCGTACAACGACTCTTCGGGTTGCCATCTTAACAGTTCTCGCTGCAATTCGACGTTCTTGTCGGCCATGGATTGCGCGTGCTCGTCTGCCTTTTTCGCGGCCGCCTCCACAATCCGTCTGCTTTTCACTTCCTCGTCGTATCGCTTGCATGCCGTTTTCAGGTTTTCTTCCAAGACGTCCACCCGCTTTTCGTACATGGACATCGCGGTCTTGGCGAGCGTCGACTCTTTCTTCAGCACGCTGATTTTGTCGTCTTTCTCTTCCAACTCCTCTTCCATGTCGGCGTGCGATCTCCCACGGTCTTTCAGTTTGCGGACAGCTTCCTGCAGCTTTTGCTGCAGCTCGCAGCCGCTCTCTTCATG